TTTCTATGACTAGTCTCAGGGAACAAAATGGGACTGAGAAACAGGAGGACAGGAGAAGGTCAGAGAAAAACTTTTGCTCCTGAGGCTTCTGAGGTCTTCGCTTTGGGTTACTGTTTTCTGAGCCCCAACAATGATGATAATGATGATAATGGTGATGGTGGTGGTGATGGTGGTGATGATGGTGGTGGTGATGGTGGTGATGATGGTGGTGGTGATGATGGTGATGGTGATGGCAATGATGGTGAAGGTGGTGATGGTAATAACGATGGTGATGATAGTGGTGATAGTGGTGGTGACGGTGGTGGTGATGATGATGGTGGTGACGGTGGTGATGATAGCAGTGATGATGGCAGTGGTGATGGTGGTGGTGACGGTGGTGGTGATGGTGGTGATGGCGTTAAGGGTGATGGTGAAGATGATGGTGATGATGGTGGGACTCACTGTGTGCTGCTCGTGTGCCAGGCACTGGGCTGAGCACTGTACATGGATGATTTTTTCATTTAACCTGCACGTCAGCTTGGAAGCAGCATCTATCATTATCATCTCCATTTTACAGACAAAGAGATGGACCTTGAGGGTTTTTAGTAGCTTGCCCCAGACACACCCAGCCCATGTGGCTGAGCGCCTTCTGCCCACGACGCCCACCAGACCCTCGCTGCTCTGGGTCCTGGCCTGAAGGCGTGTGCTTCCGTTCCAGGGTACGGTGTCATGGCAGATGGGACCACCACCTACGTGAACGCGTCCGTGTGCACTGTGAACTACCAGCCTGTGAATCCGCCCATAGTCATCGACCTTCCCACACCCCGGAACTCCTGACTGCTCCCCGCTGCTGCAGCCCTGCCCGCCACATGCCTGGCCGAGAGCACGGACCCCCCCACCACCCTTCCTTCCATGCCGAATGACCCAGACAATCCGTCTGGCTGCAGGGACTAGCCCAGCAGACTCGTTGAGGCCTTGGAATGACCCTTCAGCCTTCTGTCACCTGGAATCGGGACCCTGCGTGTCCCTATCAGGGGTTCTGTGCTTATTACTTTTTCTGCGTGTACATCCCATGTGTACCTCGTTAAAGGACCTGATGATCTCATGGCCCTGTCTTGCTTTGGAAGTGACTGAATCTTCATCCTTCTCAGCTGGACACCCTCCTGGTCTGGGAAGCTGCTGCTCTTGAATGGGTTTCGGAAGTTCTCGCACAAAATGTCCCTCTGCCCAAGGGTCGGTGTGGCTGCACACCCCAGGGTTGGGGGTGGTGGGAGGTTTTACAGCCTGGGTGCAGACAGCCCTCCCTGTCCTCCCAGGCCGGAGAGGAGACAGGCCTGCTGGAGGTGGAGCCCTCCAAGGGGGTGTTTGGGGACATCTCAGGAATTCAGACTGTCCCTGGCCGGGCCCACAAGCAGTTTGCCTGGCGTTGTCCCCCGTTTGTTCCAGTGGGCGTTTGTGCTGACTTGGACAATGGCCTGAGCATTCTGGGCACTTGCTGGCAGCCTGGATTTGGGGGATTGTATCTACAGAATGAGCCCTCTGAGGGCCCAGGGCCAGCGAGAGGCTCCCAGTCACGGTGGGACCACCCTGGGTCCCTGGGGACTGTGCTGTTCTGCAGAACTCAGCAGCCTGGAGGGTCTGCAGGCTGAGGCCGCGGCCACCCTGTCACACGTGCCTGCACACGTGCGTGCATGCACTCTCCTCTTAACTTACCCAAGTGGGTCCCGTGTTTCTTGTCACTGCCCTGCAGTGGGGTTGTGTTCCTTGGTGCGGTTTCCTTGCGCCACCAGGATTCCGTTTGTGTGCCCGCGGTGGGGGACCCCGAAGGGCTCAAAATCCTCTCTGCCCTGGTTCCTGCCAGCCCGTCAACGGGAGAGGGTGGCACCGCGACAGAGCGGGCCGTGGGTGCTGGCGGCTCCACCTTGGACAGCTGCTCTTTCTTCTGTGGATTAGGACTGGGGGTGGGGGTGGGGGAGGAGCCGGCAGGGCGGGACTGGGCAGGCCGCGAGGCAGCGTCGGGCAAGTGCAGGGTCGCATTCCGTCTTTATTTAAAATTTTGATAGGTTGTTCGTCATGCATTTTTTGGCATTAATTTTGATTTTTTAAAAAATTGAGTGGGTCTGTGGAAACATTTTGATTTTTAACACCATTACATTAAAATAGTATTTGTCCTGATTCCTGAATTTTTGCACCCCCTTTAAATTGTGCACCTGAGAGCGGGGCCTCATGCTTCCCTCTGGTCCCAGCCTGGGAACCAGCATTTGATGAGTCTTTTGCAGATTTCATCTCGTTTCATCCTCAGATGGTCCTTCAAGGTAGGTACTGCTGTCCCCATTTTAGAGATGAGGTGAGGTAGCTTGCCTGGGGGCGTATAGCACACAAGGGGCAGAGGTGGGATTTGAACCTCGGTCCCTGGCTTCACAGCCCTCACTTTGCCATGACCCGAAGCTACGTCCCCAGAAAGCAATTCATGGTCCAAGCCTCTTTTTTTTTTAAGGGTCCTGTTCAAACCGGTCTGAACTCTGAGGACTCCTGAGTCTGTGCGCAGTGTCCCAGCACCCGGGGAGGCTGTGGTTCCTCCCAGGCTCGTGGGCGAGCTGGGCTCAGCGTCGGGTGAGGCTGCCGTCCCAGGGAGCTGGCAGTGGCACCGTGTCGGGTTGGCAGGGGCTGGGCTTCCCGGGGTGCAGAGGCCAAAGTGGCTCCTGGTAGCAGGGACGTTTGGGAGCCTCTTGGGGCAGAGAGAACACAAGGCCCTTTCTGTGCCACCTCTACTCAGTTTCTATGTGGACCAAGAACTATAAACAAATCTTTTTTCCTAAGGTATCTTCAGAATATGGTGTATTTTTATGTGGGAAAGAGAAGTTATGAAGGCAGCTGTTACTTTAAGAGCAAATCCATTAAAAGTCGTGAGGTATGAAAGTTGACGGCGTGCTCCTCAATCATTTTGGCATAACTTGATCGTGGCTGTAATTTTTTTTGTCAAGCATGTCAGACAATAAAGTCTTTGTAAAAAGAAAGAGAAGTCCACGGGGGCCTCTTCCTTGCGTGTCTGGGGCGGGGGCACGTGGGAAGGGCGGGGTAGGGCGGAGCGCGGAAGCCCAAGCTGTGCACAGGCGGCAGCCGGCCCCCCTCTGCCTGCGACGCTTCCCTGGGGCCGGGGGATCTCGGAGGTGGTGTCGCGGGCGGCTCTGGGCCCTCTTGTGTTCACGCACCTGACTGCTGCATCTCCAAGCGGGGTGGCGTGAGAGGGCCAGCTCTGGACCCCCTGTGGCTGGTGCCTGAGCACCCCATGTCCTGCAGTGGCCGTCCTGCCCTGGGCCTCCCCCGCCCCAGGATCTCTGGGATCTTGAGGTCTCCCGAGCCCTGGCCTGGCCAGAGCCCCTCAGCCGCGTCCCTGATGCCCGCCTTGCCGGGCTGAGAAGCAGGCAGCAGGGAGCCCCCTCCTCACCCCGGCCACGTGCGCTGCCTGCACAGCCGGCCCTGGCTTCGTGAGAGCTCATGTGGTTTCCGGGGAGGACATTTACGCCTTCCTCGATCGGTGGAAGGATCGTGCTGTGTCCTGGAGGGTGTGGGGACAGTGAGAGGAATGGCCACAGCAGTGAGGCCACAGGAACGGGAGGAGAGTCCCAGGCTGTGGCCCAGGGCCCCGACCTGCCCTCCTGGTGGCTGGGCCGCTGTGGGTGCCGGTTCGTCGGCCTCCCCTAGGAGGCCGGTGTGCGCGGCCCACACGTGTGGCTGTTTAAGCACCGTTGGCAAAGTCCTCAGTCTCACACAATTTGGTTAACGGCAAATTTCCACAACTGCAGTGAATCCAGACATCCTAATTTAGGTCAATTACAGGCAAAAATTAGACAACTAGAGAAGGCCCCCCGCCTGCGCCCACCAAATCAGAACTTGGGGATCAGGAGGCGCCCGCAGGGAGATGGAGCGGAGCCAGGCAGCGCGGAGGCCGTCTGGGCTGAGCAGAGGCAGGCCCTGGCCAGGCGGAGGGCCCGTGCGGCGAGCACCCCTGTGCGGGGCCCCCCTTTGCTCAGAGCTGACAGCGCAGCCTCCCGTGAGCCCCCCCGCAGTTTGGGGGTCCCGTCTGTGGACCATGCGTGGAACATGGGCTGGGGCCGCTCCTCCCACCAGGCGGGCAGTCCCAGCGCACAGGGAGAGCTCTGCTCACGCCCGGTGGGGCCTAGTTCGGCCCGTGCAGGGGCAGGGAAGGGCCCAGATGGGGGTGGAGGGGCTGCCTCAGCTCCCGCCGCACCCCTCCCTGACAGCCCGTGGCCGCACGGTCCCTGGCTCCCCGCCTGCAGCTCCTAGTCCTTGGAGACCCTCCCAGAAGGCGGCGAACTCTGCCTGTGTCTCCCGCTCAGCGTCACAGCGGGTGAAAGGAGAGCGGCAGTTTCCAGGCTGCTCTGAGCTTGCCGCGCCGTCATTTCCGAGGAGGAGTTCCTGTCGCAGCGGTCACTGGCGCCTCCGTGCTGCCTGCTCGGCTGGACCTCGGGAGGCCGCAGGAAGGCTGAGCCCTGCAGTGTCGCCGCTGGGCCTGGCGTGAGTTGCTCTGCGGTGAGGTGAGGCTGTCTGTCCCCCGGCAGGGACCGGGAAGGCCGGTCGCACGGCCCAGGGGCAGCGCAGCGTGGTACAGATGTCCTCCGGCCCTGACACAGCAGGCGGGCGGTGAAGGACGTGTGTGTGGGGCCCGCGCCCTGCATCGGGGACGCAGCCTGCAGTCACCCACACAACCTCCAGAGGTTCCACGTTTTAGAGCGTTTTACCACTAGTAGTTCGTTTACAGTTTCAAGAGTCATTCTTGCAAAGACTATTTTATTTGCGCAAACTAACGGGCGAGGGCGCCCGAGGCCTGGGGTAGCCGAGCCTGTGCCCCGCCAGGACAGACACAGGCCAGGCTCGGCTTTGGGTTTTGTTCCTGGAGACACTTTGGAATATTTTCCTTAAACTCCCCAATTATTTGATTTGATTAGTCTTGAAACAAGCCCCGTGGCCCTGTCTGTGGGGGGTGCCCCGCGGGGTGCCTACTGCAGGAACGCCCGGAGGAAGTCGTTGTAGGAGACTTTCGAGGACAGCGTCTTGTCGTAATACTCCAGAATATGGAAGAACTCCTCCTCCGACAGGTTGATGCTGTACTGTCTCAGGACCTGGAGGCAGAGACAAGGGCCACTGGGCTTGTCTTGGCCCGGGTTTAAGGGTTTAAGGAGGCAGGCTGCCAGGAGGGGTCTGGGGCACGGCCACCTGTCCCTAAGCCTGTACGTCCCACCTCCAGTGTCCCCTCCTAGTAGTGTTCTCACTTCATCTGTCTCTGGCTCTCTCTCCTCTGCCTGCACAGGAAGCAGCCGCCGAGGGCAACCTCCCCGCGCATCCGGGTGTGACGCAGGAAGAGGCAGAAGGGTGGCGGAAGGCTGGTCAACACATTCAGACAAGGACGGACAGAGAGGAGGGGTCGGAGGGCAGACCTGGCCGCAGGCTTAACCTGGGTGGGGCCAAGGAGGGCAGGGTCAGCAGGTGCAGGTGCCTGGAGTGGCAGAGCTGCTAGCAGCCCACCCAGTATTGACTGCTCCTTCCTCTTCACTTCCAGAGCCCCAGTTTTCCCACAGGCTGCTCTGTCCAGCTAACAAAACATTTCTCAGCCTCTCTCAATGCTAGGTATGTTCTGGCCAGTGGAACCTAAGTGAGAATGTTATGTGGAACTTCGGGGAAGCCTCCTTTGAAGGCATGGCCTTTTTCTCTCCCTGCCTGGAATACGGATACAATGCTGGGGCTCCAGCAGCCACCTTGGACCACGAGGTGACTCTGAGGAAGGAAGACAGAGGTGAGGGGAGTAGAGCAAAAATATGGTCCCTGTGATCATCGTCCAGCCACCACACCAGCTCCAGACCACCCACCTCTGGACTTCTTTCACTTGGGGAGAAATAACCTCCCCCCTTGCTTACGCTGCTGTTATTGCCCCCTGTTGTATGCAGCTGAAACAAATTCTAATAGATAGGCCCTAGTAATAAATAAATATTAAGTCATAAATTTCCTATCTATGTTTTGTGTTGCGATAAGTTTCTAAGAGGAGACTAGGAAGTGGGGCTAGAAGGCTGGGGACTCCCGGGCTCTGTGGGATGAAAGCAGGAAAGCAGGACCTGGAGCAGGGCTGTCCGGGAGGGGCCCAGTTACTCCTTCCAACAGGACGTCTCCATTCTAGTGTCCCCTTCCCACCAAGTTGACAGAAGAGGAGAGTAACAGAATCTCGCCCCACTTCCTTCCCGTTTTCGCACGGAGAATCCCTGGCTGAGATTTATACTTGCCCCCGAAGTAAAGACAGACAGTGCGCACGTGGGCCGGAGAACCGGTGCAGGGTGTTTGCTAGGCTGTGGGGGGTGGGGCACTGAGGGGCTGAGACTTGTGTATTTACCACCCAGGGACACTGGGACGGATGCCCAAAGGTGAGCCCCAGTGTGCGCAGCAGGGGCTGGGGCACACTGGGAGGTGTCGTGGGCCAGAGACGCCCCTGTGAGTCTGCGATGAGGCCCGCGGGGGGAAGGCCCAGGCCAGCCAGGGCTCTGAGCGGCAGCAGCGGCAGCGGTGCCTTGAGGGAAGCTGGGCTCAGGCACTGGCCGGGGAGCTGGCCGTGGAGGTATGGAGCGTCCCCACCGAGCTCTGGAGACCTCCAGGGAGGAGAAGCTGGGGTCTGCATGTGAGGGGCAAGTGGCTCAGGCCTTGACAACGTGGGGGTCCGGGGTAAGTGAGGTCTGGGACAGTCGGCGCACACCCAGGCCTTCGGCAGGGGACTGGACAGGTCCCCTTTTGAGCTTTTCTGGCCACTGGCATTTGGCAACTGCTCCCTGCTCAGAGGCGCCAGATACACAGAGCTGTGCTCACCTTCCTGAAATCGGCCACGCTTAAAAGCCCCGTTCCAGCCTCATCGTAGCTTTTGAACGTGCGCCGCATCGGCCGCCAGCAGTGCACGATTTTGGGCTGAATGCGCAGCAAAGCAGAGTAAAAGGACGAAGTCTCGGCACCAACTTCTTTCTAAAAAAAGGAAAAAACGAAAACCAAGAAGGGGTGAGAGAGAAGCACTGTGGATGGGCCGATGGGGGCAGGCCCTAGGGGGCGGAGAGGCAGCTGTGGGGCTGCGGCCAGGCATCCTCCAGGCCCATCCACCCACAGCCCGCCCTCCACTGGCTCTCTGCCCAGCCTGGAGCCTGCGAGCGGAACTCTTTCTTTTTTTTGAGACAGGGTCTTGCTCTGTTGCCCCAGGTAGAATGCAGTGGCATCATCGTCGCTCGCTGCACCCTCCAACTCCTGGGCTCAAGTGGTCCTCCTGCCTCAGCCTCCTGGGTAGCTGGGACTACAGGTGTGCGCTACCACATCTGGCTAATTTTCTATTTTTTTGTAGAGATGTGGTCTTGCTCTTGTTCAGGCTGGTCTTGAACTCCTGACCCAAGTGATCCTCCCGTCTCAGCCTCCCAGAGTGCTAGGATTACAGGTGTGAGCCACCAAACCCGGCCTAGAACCCTTAACAACGATGCCATCTCTGTCCCTCTGATCGTTGCGTGCAGGCTGCTTAAAGTCGCCATCCCATTTATGTCTCCCTTCCCCTCCCCTGCAACGTGGAAGGAGGGCAGGTCTCCCACCCCATCTCACAGATTGGGGACAGGTACAGCGAGGTAAAGTGATCTGCGCTCTGACCCCAACACACCTTAGGCCTCACCACCTCCCGGGGAATGCAAGGAGAAGGCCAGGCAGATACTCAGCCAATTTCTAAATAGTTTGAAGAAAAAAAGACATTTCAGTCTGGGTCTTCTAGTAGGTTATTATAATGAAGAGTGTTAAAAAAAAAAATCACAAGGTTGTAATTATATCTAGTAATTAGACAGTACACTAAACTGTGATTATTTCATTTAGGTGCTATTATTAATAGATTGAAAACAAGATCTTTTAGCATGATTTCGCCCCAACACGTCTGAGTATCACAGAGGTGAACTGTAGGCAATAATGTGTAACACATTTGGGGAAAGTTTAATTTTAACACGGCGGCGATACATAAAACAAATTAGCAGAGAGCTAAGCTGCTTTCAATTTGACATCATTTAGCACCTATGACGGAAGCTCCCCAGGTGGCCGCCAGCTTCGGTAGCTGCCAGTCTGCGAGCAGCTGACCCACGCCCCGCAGGACAGGGCTGCCCGGCTCCCTGGCCCTCCCACACCCGGTTCCCGACACAGTGCGGGACAGCCATCCCGGCGCTGCAGGCAACGGCAGTGCCCACGCTGGCTTCCCCGAAGAAAGTGTTTCTGCTGCTGAAGGTTACAGAGAAAGCTCCCAAGTAAGTAGAAAATGAAACCACCCTTTCAGCAAAGAATTGCAAGGAGACATTTGACGTGAGCGCCACAGTTATGAGGTGCAGGGAGGCCTTGGCAGCTGCTGGAGGGGGCGAGAACTGAGACCAGGACCATGGCAGGGGCCCTGTTCTCTCCTGGGAAATTGGGCAGCCTCTCCATCCTTGTCGGTCTGGTGTGGGGATCCCAGGAGGAAGGCAGGATGAACTATTCTGAACCACTGAGTGGCACCTGGGGTGGGGACAGAGGACCTGTAGCACCTCTCACTTCACATAAACATAACCTCAGTCTGATGCCCGGGCGGCCCACGGCCAGCCCTGCAGTCGCACTGAGGCCGGACGGTGCGTCTGCGAGCAGGCGCGGCCTCTGCACTGGGGAGGGCCTGGAAGCGGGCACTGCTGCTCGTGATAGGAGAAGCCCACCGGCCAACCCTTAGAGGCCCTTGGAGCCCAGCAGACCTTCCTCTCATTTACGGAAGGGGAAACTGAGGCCCAGAGAGGCGGCGGGGTGGGGGGGGGGACAAGGCCAGAGCAGGCAGGAGCCCTGCAGGCCACGTGGTCTCCGTGCTCCTCCAGCTGTGGTTCTGGCCCCATGAAGATCTAACGAGGACAGCCTATCTCAGAAGAACTGAGCTAGCAGAAGACACGTCTTAATTTTAAGTTGTTTTTTTTCCATAAACTTGGCCTAAGCCTTTGATACTAGCTGCTGCTTGTCTAAACTGGAACCTACACTAAGATGGTACCTAAGTGTGCACAGAATGGGAAATCTAGAGGTGCAGACACTTTCTGTGTGGCCCCTGCTTACCTGTTGCTGGATCAACCCACTCTCTCTCCATTTCCTCCACCACTTGCCTGCTGCCAGGCGGGAAGGGCGGGGGCAGGAGGAGGCAGGGCGGGTGCCGCCTGGGGTCTGCCCTGCACTTTTTGTCCCTCCAGCTGAATCATAAGGTGGTTGGATTCTGCTGTGTTTGTTCCCCAAATTGATAATGCCAGTTGTACTTCTTTAATTCAACATAACTTAATTGGAATATCTCAGATGATGGAATCAGAACATTAAAATAGCATCTTTGGCTTCGTGTTTAGAATGGCTGCAGCAAGGTGAGTCAGTGAAAACACTGATGCACTCGCTGTGGGTTTCAGTTATAAATTGCAAATGATTACAAATAAAAGGTAAAAATCTGCAGGAATTGTGCCCTCCAGTTGCTATTTAAGTGTCTTCAGGTTCTCATTCCTCTTCAAAGAAACAGAAAAAGAAAATTGTAGACCAGGCATCTACAATGTCTAGTGTAGTTTACGCGAGAAAGATGTCGGGAGACTCTAGCCCGCCACCCGCACTCAGCAGTGGGTCTGGCCTGTCTCCAGTGGCCGTCGCGTGAGTCCACATTTAACCCAGACACTGCCTTTGCTACAACCCGCCCCGCCTGCTCTGCCTTTTCAGGGAACTGACCGGTCATTGCTCCCAGGGGGTGGACGAGGGGCTAGACTGCTAGTCATGGGGACGCTCTGGAAGAGCCATGATAATCAGGTGTCTGCCACCCGAATGAGTTGGAGAACCCAGGGTCCAGGCTACTGGTTCTGTCTGGGGTCTCCAGACCCTTCTAGGGTTCCACAAGGAGAGAAAGGAAATCTTTGAGTTACTTCCAAGAAAGTAAATTTCTGACCTGTTTTCAATGTCCCCAAAAGCCTGGTGGCGGCCTTATCCCTACTCACAGCCCCTGCCTCCCAGGTGTGAGCCCCCGACCCACAGGTGCTGGCTTTGGGACATGACAGCCCCTGGTTACCTCAAGCTGACCTGACAACTGCCTGGCACTGTCCAGGCCTCTACATGATGGAGGTGGGGCGACAAAGCCTTGCTCGACAAGTATCAGATGTGTATAGGGAACGTCTGAGTAGGGTCTGTGGGGACATCGGACAGACGAGTCCTGGCTGGCGGCAGAGCTGGGCTGGGCTCTGGCGTCTCTGAGCCCCGAGTCAGCACCTTTGCGAGCCCCTCGAGCCTCGCCCCCTCGCTCCCGGGACGCCCGCGTACCATTTTGTGTGCGTTCTGGATTTTCATCCTCTGCAGCAGTGAGGTTTCCTTTGCTTTTAACAGGAGGACGCAGCTCTGAATGAAGTCACAGTAGGCAAATTTCCCCTTGTTCTTCAAGTCGTACTTTATAAGGAGCTGCTGACGCTCCTCTTTGCTTATGTCCAGGTTGAATTTCTCCACGAGAGCTACGGACAAAAATGGCAGTTCAGTTGGTGGCAATTCATCCATTCATCCATTCATCCATTCATTCATTGAACACTTCCTGAGGCTCCTCCTCTGCTTTAGGCTCTGGCGTGGTCCTTGTTTCACAGAATTCACAGTTGGCGGGTGGACGTGTATGGAAACAGACATACACGACAAATTAAGGGCAGCAGGGAGGGGGACCCGAGTCCTACTGCCCACACCCTCCTGGGTTTGTGTGGTCACCAGAACTGTGGTCACAGCGAACGGACACAGACTGTGGGAGCAACGACTGCAGAGGGGGAGGTGAGGACTTGGGGGCAGGGCAGGGGCACACGGCAGCAGGGGAAGGGTCCACCAGCCGGGCGTGGGCCTGGCGGGGCTGGGCTGGGGGCAGTTCAGACTTGGCCTACACCATGTATTTTTTAACTGGGCTGCAGATATATGCCCTTGAGAGTCTGTTTAGCTATGCAAATTTATATGTTTTGAGTTTTCACTCCAATGACGACCATCTAAAATATATCGATATACATTCTGGATACACGGACCACCCTTAAGAGATAGCCGCCGTGCAGTCTCGGGGTTCGAGCCTCGCTTTCTGACTAGGGTTACTAGGGTTCCGAGGACGCCACGGTGGGGTATCTTCCCAGCTGCCATGAGGCTGGCACATCTTAACACCAAAATACCAACACCTGCCCTGTGCTTTGCACTAGTACTCGTGCTGAATTCTCTTGCTAGTTATAAAGACAATGCCTCTTTTCGAGTGACAACTAATACTTGAAAGAGACTTATGTAGGATGAGATTTTTGTTTAAGTTTATTAAACTGAGACTTTGAGTTGTCATCATGAAAGAACAAAGTGTCAAAGAGTGGAATACCATGTT